GCAATACTTAAGCCAAAATTAAGATTTTATATTAGGTTCTAACTTACTAAACTTTTTGTACATTTGATTACATTTGGGCATTTGGTTTCAGTTTCTTCATAAAGCCATTTCTTAACGAATCTACTTAGCTAGTTGACATTTTCTTAACTCAGAACAAAATTATGATTTTTTTTTGTTAAATCTTTTTTAGTTATCAGATTGGCAACTAAGTAAGTGCGCATTTTTGTTAGAAAATCAAAGACAATTTTTGCGTGGAATTAAATAACTTTGTTCTGTATACCATTTTGATCGATGACCTTTTGTTATTTTCCAAGTAGCATCATTATCCCAAGTATATAAAACTTCTAGTTTTTATTAGCAAAAACTGTATTAGGCACAGTTTGACACCACCATATTTTTTTTTTAATTCAAGGGTTTTAAATCAGATGGTTTGTGATCAGGAATATTTGGTGGACGTGGAGAAAAATTTCAACCAATCCCCAATAATTTTTGAACATTGCCAAATTGTTTCTATTAGCCGAATCGATTATTGCTTTAATTAGGTTGTCCAAAACTTTAACTGGACAGCCAAAGCAGCATTGAGTGGAAAATCACCAGAATGACATTTTCAAAACCAATTTTAACATAGCTGCTTTTTAAGGCTTCGACACCATAAACAGCACCTATTCTTTGGGAGCATCGTTTTACCCTTTGCAGAAATAAAAACGCAAAATTTGACTAAAATGTTTGTTTTGATATTCCATCTTTCATCGCTCTACATAACCGTTCAAAAAAGTATTTTCTACTAATCGACAGCTAAATTTCTCACATACAATACTACCTCAACCTCAACAAACATGAAGAATCATTTGAAGCAATCTAAGAGTAAAAGCCGCACTTAGTGTCAACCTTGTACTATTTAAGGATACAATAAAAATTAGTTTGTTTTAAATTAATTCCATCTTTAGCCATAGTTACGAACAGTTAGTAAAAAAGTCACGTCATATTTATGATTTTTCCGCTTTAAAAGCCTTGTATAAAACTGTGTTCACATAAAGCTTTGCAATTAACTTTAGTATTTAAGGGGGTCTTCCTATGTGATGAGTTGAAAAAATCGATTTTTTTTTCTTTTCATATTTCGATAGATTACACCTTTAAAAATAACATATTAAAATTTCAAATCGATATCTCAAATAGTTTTTGAGTTACAGCCATTTAAAAAGTATGCATATAGTATATAGTACAACGATCATTTTATCTTTAAACGCGTTTTTCTCAAAACTGTGTTTTTCAAACTTGTCTCCATTGTATCTCAGAAACGGCTGGACCGAATTACTTGAAATTTACAGGGCACATTCAATATATTTAAACGCATGGAATGATCTATTATCAATCAAAAATTTCAAAACTTCGATTTTTTATAACAAAAAAACAAAAAAAAAAAGCGCCTAATTTGCAACTTTTATTTCAAATGTCTATAAAACATCCAATTTTTTTTGTATTCATTTGATTGTAGTTCATTCCGTGCTTTCAAGCCTACAAATTAAAACGCCGTTTATTTTTTTTTGGTCAGATAAGCCGATCAGCCGGAATCGTGGAGACAGAGGGAGCTCTTTTTTTTTGAGGAGGGGTGTTTAGAGCGCTGTAACTCTAGTTGGACTAAATTTTTTTAGCTGAAATTTTATATTTATACTGTCCAAATATGTGTTAATAAATGATAAAAAACTTGAAGCTCTAGCTATTTACTGGTCGTAAAAAAAAAATTCTAAAATATCCCTAAAAAACAGGCCGTCACATAGGAAGACCCCCTTAATATCACTTTTCTTGTGCATATTTCAAGTCGAGTCTTGTCACAGACCTTAAAGCACATATGCCAAGTAATCAGAAACTTGATTTACCTAATTTTTTGGTAATTTTCGTAAATTGAAATATAGAAGTTTAATATAATTATGAAGGGCTACTGGAATCGAAAGAATTGTTGCATTCCGCAACATTCTCTTTCATAATGTTTCTGTTAGTTTTATATAAAGTTTATTGCATATATCATTTTCAGATTATAATTAAGTTGTAATTTTATTATAAAGTAATGAGAAAAATTCAAATTCGAGCTAATCTTTTTTAAAAAGTCAAGTCAACCCGGCAGAAAAAACTCCGGCACCAGGAAAGCAAGGTTGATAACTAAAACCGTCCCGGTCAAACCGGGACACCTTATTATTCTAAATCTAAGAAGCATTTTTTTTGTTAAATATTTTAGCGATACTATAATACATTACATTAGAATCACCAAAATTTTCAAATTGCCCCTCTGAAATTACAAATTGGCCCCCGGTGGAGCGTGCGCTCCACGTTGGGAAACACCGTCTTAGACCATAAAAACCGCTTAGACTTGGAGTCATATACTGGTGTCATTTGCCTACCGTACGTAAAAGATTTATATTTCCCGTGGAAAAAACTATTTCAACAGTGTGGCATTTTGTTAGTATGTAATTGTGATACAACCCTTATATTAGTTCAATTTTTACACAAATCAAATCTAAATTTAATTTTGACCTCTCAGGAACTTGGTATATCAGATTAATTGCTCTAATTGTGGACTCTTTTATATTGGAGAAACTAGCCAAAACCTGAGTAAACGCCTTCATCAACATAAAAACAACTCAAAAAATCCGAAACAATTTAAGACAATGTCAACTGAGCATATTAAAAATTTAAACCATGATATAGATTTTTTTAACCCTAAAATTTTATATTTTGAAGAGAACACAATTAAAAGAAGATTTGCTGAGGGGTTGTTTTTGCAATTGCATAACGACAGGGTCATAAACAAACGCTTCGACAATACGGCCCTGAACGAAACAAACACGTGGTTTCTTAATAGCGTGTCAAAATTTCTTAAAAAAATGACAAGATCCCATCGCTTTTTAAATTTCCCGTAAAATTTGAACACATGCTAAAAACTGCTTTAAGAAAAAATGTGACATTTCTATCTTAAACTCCGAAGAGTAAATACATAGTTTCGACAACTTGTAAAGTTATCATGATTATTAGTGTTTTTACCATTTGTGATGTTACAAAATATATATCTTATCAATGTGCACATACTAATACCATTGAACCAATGGTTTCATATGCTATATTAGGATACAAAATTGTAAGTGTTCTATTATTATTATTGTTGTTTTTCCATGAAATTTCTTACATATAATTTATTTAGTTTCAATTTTTATAGTTAATTTGATTACCACTGAATGATGGCTAAGATGCTAGCCGAAACGTCATACTATTTCTATTGATGTTACTCCCGAATTTAAACTCAAATTAAACATATATATCAACATGAAATTCAAGACTATTCATATATATATATAAATATATATATATATATATATATATATACATTGATTTATGTTTGTCTTCCGAACATTCCTGTATCATTATTAAACATTCGAATAACAATAGTAACACTACGTGACAGTATTTTTTTCTGAGATGTTATGATGGTTTTTAAGGGGGGCGATACATGTAACAAGAAAAAAAAAATCGATTTTTTTTTTTTTCATAAATCGTTACAATAACATCTCAAAAATATGCCTGTAAATATTCAAAACAAAATTATCATTATTTATACAATAAAAACTCATTTAAGTGCCACGCCTCAACTCGACGCTTGAGTGCTATTGTACTCTTATCTGTTTCTGTGTCAAAACTTTAAACGCGTTTTTCTCAAAACGACGTTTTTGAAATTTGCGGGCGTGATAACTCAAAAAGTTCTCAACCGATTCCAATGAAATTTTGCACACATCTACTTTACAGTAATAGCTTCTAGTTAAACCTCAAACATTCCAAAAAATGTTTCAAAAATTAACCCTTTTACCAAAAAAACCATTGAAAAAAAGGTGAAAAATCGAACTTTTTTTTTCTAAGGTGTGCCAATTTACGATTTTGTGACTTTTTTAATTTTTTTTTGGTTTAACTAGAAGATATATGTTTTATGAACACGTACAAACTAATTTTTTTAAATTCAGATCACCGTACGAAAAGTGAGAACGCCCGCAAATTGATGGCGTTTTCCGAGAGGGTCTTAGCAGATTTATTTTTACGGCAGCCATTTAAAAAAAATAAATTAAAAAAAAAATTTTTTTGTGTATTTTAATATATAATAAATAACCCTAAAAAAGTTCAAAAAGATTCAATCATTCCTTCCCAGTTTAAAAAGTCCTCAAAAAATGGTAAAAATTAAGGCGATTACATGTATCGCCCCCCTTAAGTGATTCCGAGAAAAGTAACAAAACTTTTCCAACAACTCCGGTTATTGAGATACAGCAACGTGCTAGTTTTTTCTCAAATTGCAATAAAAAATTACATAGATTTTATTTTATGCCTTCAGAAGATGTCCACCTGTTAAATTATTTGTTTACCTGACTGCTAGTCTACTTACATAACTGTGCACCAGTCTTCCTATTTATTTATCTACCTGCTTACATGCCCACTTTACTACTTGTCTGTCTGCGATTCTATCGATCGCCGTATTTCTATTTTCCACCAATCTACCTGTCTACTTGGCTACTTGTTTATCGTTCCTCTCTTTCTACTTGCTTACCTATCTATATACTTGCCTACTTTTCATAGTTTTCTCTGTCTACCTGCCTACCTGTTTACCTGTGTATCAATAATTATATTCGTATATAAGTAAATAACAATAATTTTGAATAATCATTATTGGTCATTAAATGTCATATTTTTAACTTTTTTACTGCAATCCAGAAACCGCTGGAATAATATATTAATAATAGAAAAATATTAGTAATTGAAAACCAAAACTGGTTTTCCTGATATTTTGATCTTTCATTCATATGACTATTTTTTTGTCAAAAAGTAGGTTTTTTGACATAATGTAGCGATATAAATAAATATGTCATTAATAAGGGTAAGCAATTTTTTATTTTAAAAATTTGTTTTTGACTTTATATGTTTTAAGTATTTTATATTTATTGCTAAATTTTTTTACTTTCCATTCACAGGAGAACCAAGACTCGAACCGAATGAACAATTCATCTTCCGCTCACCGTCTTCCTCTTTCGCAACATCATCATGGACCGAGCGGAGATCATCTGCCAAATAATAGCACCACTCAAAATGATACCAAACTTCCACTCCATACAAAGCCAGATCCTCCTGTACGCCAAGACACCCTAAGGGAAAAACCAAAGCCAAAAGAATTGGATGGATATGTAGGTTTCGCAAATCTTCCAAACCAAGTGTATCGCAAGGCTGTCAAGAAAGGATTTGAATTTACATTGATGGTTGTAGGTAAGAAAGTGACCGTTGAAGTAAATGCGACTTAAAAAACGATCTGTAAGATCTATGGTTTACGCTATAACTCGAATGATTTTAGTTTTGAATCTGATTTCAGTTGTTTCAGAAATGTTTTATTTGTTTGATTGCTTTATACAACTTATGTCCAATTTAGTTCTTTTTTAACTCCTCGTAGGGTAAGTTATAGTAATCGCAAAAAATCGAAAATGAAGATTTTTATATATCTTTACGTTTCAGAGGTTTTTGAACATTTTGGCATACCTTAGAAAAAATGGATGTATGTGTGTGTGTGCGTGTGTGTGTGTGTGCGGATACAAATTTCGTCGACGATTTCGGGAACACGGTTCAACCGATTTCGATTATTCAAAGAGCATTCGATTGCTGTTGATAAGGAGACGTGCTGATTAGTTTTTGGCATGGGCAGGTCTAGCCGTTTCGAAGATACGGGGCAAAAAGTGCCACAAATGGTAACTCCGTTTTTAAGGGAACGGAGCGTCCTATTTTAATATTTGAAAAAGAATTTTACTTATATTGACAAGATGAAGAATTGATCAAATTTTTATGAAGACAGGTCTAGCGGTTTCGGAGTTCTAGTGGAAAAAGTAAAAAACAAGAAGCCATTTGGCGGTCAAAAATGATCATTTGACATATGCACATCAAATTATCAGATATTTTATAAAGATTTTAACAATAAGTATACATTTTGTTTACATTCCTATCAGTTCCGTACCAATGTTTATCCGTTCGACGGCGACGCGGCGATTACGCGCTTCGATATTTCGTCTTTATGCAAGTATGCAGTAAAATAAAGAAAACGTTTTTTTACCGGAAAGTCTTTTTTTTCGAAACAGTAAATTTTTATCGAAAATTTATAGTTTCTCAAAAATCTAATTTTTTGAAAGTAATTTTTTTTCAAAAAAAAAAAATTGCTACGGGAAGTTACAGCAATTTGCCTTAAGGGACGATGCCATGCGCCCCACTAATTTTTCTTTGCGTTTCAAAGGGTTCTGAACATTTTGGCATACCTTGGAAAAAATGGATGTATGTGTGTGTGTGTGTGTTATGTATGTGCGGATACAATTTTTTGTCGAAGATTTCGAGAACACGGATCAACCAATTTGAATGATTCAAAAAACATTCGATTCCTACCCATAAGACGTGCTGACTAGTTTTTGGCAAAAGCAGGTTCAGCCGTTCCGAAGATACGGCGCAAAAAGTGCCAAAAATGAAAAATCAATTTTTGAGAGAACCGAGTGTCCGATTAGAATGATTCAAAAAACATTTTATTTGTATTGATAAACTAAAGAACTGATGATATTTTTGGGAAGGCAGGTCTAGCGGTTTCGGAGATCTAATAAAAAAAGTGAAAAAAGTCATTTGGCGGACATGGTCATTAGACATATGCAATCAAATTTTCACATATTTTCTAGAAATTTTAATAGGAACAAATTTTATTTACTTTTTTATGGGTTCCGTACCAATGATTATCCGTTTAACTATGACGCAGCACCCACGCGCTTCAATATTTCGTTTCTACACAGCTAACGTATCGCGATTGCTTTGAAACAAAGTTCAAATTTCCAAAATATTTCAAAGTATAAAAAAGAGTTTTTAAAATCTCAGTAATCGATTTTTTCAGAGTTCTAAAGAAAATTGAATCTTTTTCAAAATTTTAAATTTGGTACGGGAAGTTCCAGCAATTTGCCTTGAGGCACGATGCCATGCACCACTAGTTCACTTCATAACCGTAATCACTAGAGTTCTTTCTTCTCTCACTTCCTTCAGGACTTTGTCACTTGTAATTTTGTCAGACAATTTTATCCTTTCAGTTATTCTCCAACACCACGTTTTGCAAATCTTCAGGTTGTTGTTATGCAGTAGAGATCAGATTTCTGGTTTATACAGAACCATGCTCTGACAACCAAACTTTTCGTACCGTAGACTCTTTGCGTTTTAAAGGTTTCTAGACATTTTGGCATACTTTAGAAAAAAATGTTTGTATGTGTGAGTGTGTTTTTGTGCGGATACAATTTTTTGCGCATCGAAAAGCATTTTATTTGTATTGACGAAATGAAGAATTGATTAAATTTTTGGAAAGGTAGGTCTAGCGGTTTCGGACATCCAATAAAAAAAGTACAAAAAATGCTCTTTGGCGATCAAAAATGATCACTAGACATATGCACACATTACCAGATATTTTATAGAGATTTTAATAATAAGTATGAATTACCGGAATACCGGAATGAAAGTATGACTCTGTGCTTACCGGCTTCGGTATTTAATCATGGACGAAAAATTGTATCCACACAAAAAACATAAACGTAAAGATTAAGATAAATTTTCATTTCTGATTGCCGATGCCGATTTCCTTGTTGATATCGGTACGCATACAACGTTGATATCGATACGCATACAACGTTGATGCCGGTACACATACAACGACAGATCTCTATTCACATACACGACGACTAATCACAATTGACCCATATAGAAATGATCTCATCGAGAGCGAATGACGATAGTTCGGGCGTTATGGACTTCCGTTGCATTTCTCCTGATTTACACTCTAGTCGCGCCTAAAGAAGTTTTACTTAAAAAATTGTTCGCTTTGAAGACATTGGTGAATTGCGTACAACGATTTACGGAATTATGTCAGGAGCTAACTTTTGTCACGGAATTTGTGGTTCAGTGAAATACCGATTCTAACTCTACATGAAATTTTAAGATGCAAAATAATGTTTTATAATTATATTATTATTTAATTTACATGGTAGTAAATACGAATAAAAAGTGAAAATCAAAAGAGCGCGTGTACCGTTCACACGACGCGATTGAAGAAAAACTGTTTTGCTGTTGTATGGATTGCAATTAAGTTAAAAACATGGCATCTTGCCTTAAGGCAAATTGCTGGAACTTCCCGTACCGTAATTAAAAATTCAAGGAATAAAAATTAACAATAATTGCTTTAAATAATTTCAAATAGATTATTATAAATACATACTGTAAATTAATAAGTGCATATTATGTGTATGTTTACAAGAAATTTGTTCATTTTTTTAAAATTTTTTTTATATTTTTGAAAATTTGAAAAAAAAAATTTAAATATGGATTGTCTTGGAATTTTTGAAAAAAATCTTTTTTTTTATTTTTGAGAATTTGAAAATTATTGAAAATATCCGATTTTTTTTTTTGAGATTTTCGAAATATTCTCAAATCTTTGTAAGAAATCGTTTTTTCTTAAAATTTGATATTTTTCGAAATTTTTTGAAATTTCGTTTTTTTTTTGAAAATGATAAAACATTTTAAAAATTTGTTTTTTGAAACTTAAATTTCTTTTGAAAATTTAGATTTTTTTTTTTGAAAATTTTCAAAACTACGAAATTTTTTGTAAAACCATTTTTTGCACACCGTCTACACAAGCAAAATGTTTTTCGAATTATTCAAATCGAAGCGTCCGATTTGAATAATTCAAAAAACATTTTGTTCTCTCAAAGACTGAATTTCAATTTTTGGCTCCTTTTGCCCCGTATCTTCGAAACGGCAAGACCTGCCTATGCCTAAAATCTAATCAGCACGTCTTCTTATCAATATGAATCGAATGTTTTCCAAATTATTCAAATCTGTTATTTCATACTGTCGAAAATGTCGAGGACATTCGTTTGAACCATATACTTGAATATTAAAATTAAAAATCTTGGTACGGAACCAAAAAATTGACACAAAATGTAAACACATTATTAAAATCTCTATAAAATATCTAATAATTTGATATGCATATGTACAATGAACATTTTTGATCGCCAAATGACATTTTTTAAACTTATTTTTATTGAGAGTCCACAACCGCTGGACCTGCTTTTCCAAAAATTTGAACAGCCCTTCGTTTAGTCAATATAAATAAAATGTTTTTTGAATTAGTCAAAACGAACTATGGCTCCTACATATACGCATATTTTTTTCTTAAGGTATGTAATAATACCCAGAATTGAGTATTTAACTCAATTTCGAGATGTATATAACGATAATATAGCAGCACTAATGCTTTACACTATATTAACAAGAGCCACGTATGCAACATCATCTGTTCAATGAAAGAAAATATGTAATATTTTACGTCTAAATCTAACTAATATTTTCTTTAGGTGAATCAGGTCTCGGTAAGTCTACCTTGATCAATTCAATGTTCCTGTCGGATGTATACAGCCCGGATCATCCAGGACCATCTCAAAGGTTGAAAAAAACAGTGGCCGTTGAAACGAGTCGTGTCCTTTTAAAAGAAAACGGTGTCAATCTAACACTTACGGTCGTTGACACACCGGGATTTGGAGATGCTGTGGACAATAGCAAATGGTAAGGAAATTGAAAGTGAGTTCAATATTATATGTAAGAGACTCAACTTTCAAGATTTTTGTATATTTGAGTTTTCATGGTGGTTAATAATAATTAAAATTATATTTCTTTAAAAAGAAATATGTTAATATTTCTATTCTTTGCAGACAAACATCTTATTAAATTAATAAATTAGTATTTCAATTCAATGTGTATGTAGTGCTATCAATTGCAGTACCAGTATGTGGTAATATTATTTAATATTTTTCAGTTGGGTACCAATAATTGACTTCGTTGAATCGCGCTACGAGGAATTCTTAAATGCCGAATCTCGCGTCACACGTCGATCTCTTCCTGACGGTCGTGTTCACTGTTGCCTCTACTTTGTAGCACCTACCGGTCATGGTTTGAAACCATTGGACGTGGAGTTTATGCAACGCTTGGGGGACAAAGTTAACATTGTTCCTGTGATTGCAAAAGCCGACACAATGACTCCAGAAGAATGTGCTCAGTTCAAGAAACAAATATTGAATGAGATCGCGAGGCACAAAATAAAGATCTACGAATTCCCAGATTGCGACGAGAAAGATGGAGGCGGACAAGAGGATGAGGCAGAAATTAAATTATTGAAGCAGATGAGGTCGAAAGTTCCATTTGCCGTTGTTGGCGCCAATGCTATTATGGTTGACGGTAAAGAGGTTCGAGGCAGAAAGTATCCTTGGGGAGTTGTTGAAAGTGAGTAAAAATACATATAGAGGGTGTCGCAGAACTCCAAGTCAAGCCGAAACGGTAATAGAATTGACCGTAACTACCATAGAAAAAATTAGAAATTGGTGGTGTATGGCATCATGTCTTAAGTGGTAAAATGCTGGATTTTCTCGTACCGTAATGAAATAATCGAAGAATATTGAACTAATGGGGCGCATGATATCGTGCCTTAAGGCAAATTGCTGGAACTTCCATTACCAATTTTTTTTTTAAAAATTAAAAAAAAAATTTTTCAAAAAAAAAAGGATTAACATTTTTGAAAAAAAATTACTTTGAAAAAATTAGATTTTTGAGAAACTATAAATTTTTGAAAAAAAAAATTTGGAAAAAAGATTTTTGAAAAAAAATGTTTTCTTTATTTTGAAATATTTTGGAAGTTGTGAATTTTCAAAGCAATCGTACTGCTTTAACTACATAGAGATGAAATATCGAAGCGCGTAAGCGCCGCGTCGCTGTCTAACGGATAAACATTGGAACAGAACTTATAGGAATGTAAACAAAATTTATACTTATTGTTAAAATCTCTATAAAATATCTGATAATATTGTGTGCATATGTCTAATGATCATTTTTGACCGCCAAATGGCATTTTTTTACTTTTTTCACTAGATCTTCAAAACCTTCATGAAAATTTAATCAGTTGTTCATCTTGTCAATACAAGTAAAATGTTTTTTGAATTATTAAAATCGTACACTCCGTTCTCTTAAAAACTGAGTTACAGTTTGTGGTACTTTTTGCCCCGTATCTTCAAAACGGCTAGACCTGCCTATGCGAAAAACTAATCAGCACGTCTCCTTATCAACAGCAATCGAATGTTTTTTTGAATAATTGAAATCGGTTGAACTGTGTTCGCGAAATCGTCGATGAAAATTTGTATCCGCACACACACACACACGCACACATACACATACATTCATTTTTTCTAAGGTATTCCAAAATGTTCAGAAACCTCTGAAACATAGAGATATATAAAAATTTTCATTTTCGATTTTTTTTGCTATTACTATAACTTACCCTACGGGAAGTTGAAAATTATTTCAAATATATTATAAATACTGTAACATTTATAATCTTTATTTTATAGACAAAATATGAGAGCTTATAAATTGGACGATGATGTTTATATAAGTTTACGTGCAACGTAAATAAACAAAACAAAAAAAAATGCTACGTTCTCCTAAAAACTGCCATTTTTTTGCACATTTAGCTTCGTATCACCAAAACAGCCAGAAACCACGTCTTTCCATAATTACGACTTGAATGCTTTTGAATCATTTAATTTGGATGCTCTGTACTCTAAAAAACTAGCTTTATATTTTATTTGCTCCATATCTCCGAAACGGCTGGACCTGTCTTTGCTAAAAACTAATCGGCACATTTCACCATCAGAGCATTTTTTGAATTATTCAAATCGGTTGATACGTACGCTCGAAATCATCGAAGAAAAACTATATCCACGCGTACACACACACACATATCCATTGTTTCTAAGGTATGCAAAATGTTCAGAAACTTTGAAACTAGGCTTGCAACGAATACCGAATATTCGGCAACTACTCGGCAGGTTTTTGGCGCCTGAGCTCATTTGTATTAATGTAATTACTTTCAGCAATTGTTATATTACTAACACACTACATCTTTAATCAAGTTTTATACCTAGACTTGCAACCACTATTCGGCTACTCTTTTTTTTTTCAGAAAATTTGGCACCATTTACACTACTCGGCCAAATACCGTATTCTTGAATACCACATGTGATAAAGTAATAAATGGTAAAATCATTGAAAAAGCGATTCTTTACTTATATCCAATTATTTCTTTCATAATCATTTAATATTTTCTTTTATAAACTCAATATTAGTTTTTATATATTAGGGATGCTAATCATAATGAAATAAATAAGAAATGATCAAAAATATTGTTTGTATGTTTCGCGATAAAGAGACAATTTTTGCTTTATTTGGAAATGCTTAGATCGAATATAATGAATGACTTTATTGTATAGATACAACACATGCGTGTAATCATTGAATGATTCATATTGAATAATATAAACATGTAACAATAAAGTAGTGTTCATTTATAATCTCAAAAGTCGATGAAGTTTAAATTATTCTATATACAATAACGAAATCATTTCTTCATACGATATTATGTAAACTAAACATTTCCAAATATACAGATCCATCTCGAGCTCCTTATTGCATAAAAGATAAAACACCAACATTGCTGCCGCTGTGCGGCGGCGGCGCCTTTAATTTTAACTATTCGGTTTTCGGCCGAATATTAATAAAGGTGCCGAATATTCTGAATACCGAATAGTAAACAAATATTCGGTGCACGCCTATTTTAAACTCAAAGATATGCAAAAAATTTCAATTTCGTTTTTTGGACGATTACAATAACTTACTCTATGGGATAGTTACTATCTATACTATCACCCCGTTTCGGCTTGATGTTGAGTTTTGGGACAACCTGTATAAAATAACATATAATAAAATTAAAAAAAATATTTTTTTAGTGGAGAATATGGAACACTGTGATTTCATTGCTTTGCGCAACATGGTAATCAGAACACATCTTCAGGACTTGAAAGATGTCACGAATAGCGTTCACTATGAGAATTACAGATGTCGAAAATTGGCAGGTTTAGGATCTGATGGAAAACCATCACGCATATCAAATAAGTAAGTTTTATACGAGTAGATTTATTTTATATTTATTTAATAATACAGTCTATATCAGTGTATGGATTAAAGGATTTAGTCATGTTTTTCTTCAGATTGGGTCTCAGCCTAGTATATACATGATTTTGATGCCATTTCATAGCTTTTCATCGAAAAAGTCAGATATACAAATTTTCAACTCCCTAGCTCATCATTTGGCCAAGATATATTTGAAATTATGTGATAGTGGCCCCTCTTTTCAAGATCACTTTTTGTCACAACAGTCACATCACCAAACAAATAAGGTGATTTTATTACTTTACAGTGGTGTGGACTATATTATTAATAACAAATAATTATTTGTTACTCCATGAAAGAGTGAAATTAGTTGTTTGTTTTGAATTCTCTGATAGTGCGGTTGTTTGTACTAATTTTTAATTAACATTGTTAGGAAGACTATATTTCTTATGGTATCCAAAATTTAGTTTTAGTTCAGGTAGTAGAACACATTCAAAAGTTGTAAATTCTCAGTAAGGAATTTATATTTTGAATATTTGTATATTTGTGTATGTGTATAATATAAATAAATATATTAACAACACATAACTTGTAAATAATTAATAAATGGAATAAAGCACTAAGTGTCAGTGATTACAATTTTATAAAATAGTTTTAGAAATTAAATAAACGAGATGTAGCTCATCATACGAGGCAAGTTTTCAACCTAATACTTACAAACCAAATATTTTGTGTCCAATAAACAAATTTCAAAATACTTTTCATTCTCTTTCAAAAATTTACGTCCTTATAATCCCAAACTTTATAGCCTCCCTAAAATCCATAAACAAGATGTTCCTTTTAGACCCATAGTCACTGTCATAAATTTCCTCTGTCCAAAATTTCAAAATCTCTAAGCAATATACTTTCCACTACAACTGTTCAGTCCCCTCATTTCATCAAATATTCATTTGAATACCTCATGATACTTTATTAGTGAGTCTAGATGTTGTTTCCTTATTCACCAACTTCCCCTTACAATTAATGTTATATTCTATAACAGATAGATGGGATGAAACTTCTTGTCACACTACACTTACTTTACACTGGTTTTTGGAACCTGTCAAGTTTATATTCACGAACACTTACTTTGAATTTGATGACCAATTTCACCTTCCAATTTTTGACACCCTCATCGACTGTTCTATTTCCCCAGCTCTAGCCGAATTATTGTCACAAGACTTAGAAATCGGAGTTTTTAATTCCATCAACCTAGAAGCTTACTCCTGTTACAGATATGTTGATGACTATTACTTGTATCCCCTCTTTCAATTCTTCCAACAAACATATACAGTTCACTTTTGAAAAAGATCTAGATAACTCCATTAGCTTTTTAGACGTCAGAATTACTAAAAACGTAGATAATCACATTCTCACTAACTGGTACCAGAAACCTACTTGGTCATGTAGGTATCTATATTTTCACTCTTACCAATCCTCTATTATGAAAATAGGAACTATCGTTAATCTAGTAGACGATGCTATCCTTCTTTCTGAACAATTTTGAACCTTCAACTTAGATTTAATTTTCAAAACTCTCATGCACAACTCCTATTCCCTACATCTAATAAAATCCGTCACAAACAAAAGACCTACAATTTTAAGGAACAAAATTATTAACCCCAACCTGATCTTAGCTTCCACAAAGAATAATGATTTTGAAGGTACAATTTGCCTTTCTAACATTAAAGAATTTTATCCTTTGTAGAAATAACTTTTTTATAACGCTAATCTACGATTAGTATGTAACATCAATTTAACGCTTAATTCTCTTTTCTCAAATTTGAAGTCGCGCACTAGTTTGGAAGGAGTATCCAAATCCAATTCACTTATATTGGCGAAACAGGACAGAATATTATTAAACGTTTAAAACAAGACGACATTAATTCGAAAAACAAAAATCAAGGGATGATCACTGAACATTTGAAACTAAACAACCATACTTTCAATTTTTATGACGCAAAGGTTCTTTATCACGAGTCGAAAGTCTCACAAAGACGCTTTGCGGAATCGGCTTTTGTTTTTTTTTTGGACAAACAGTATTAATAAACGTAATGATACAAGCTTACACTGCCAAAACTATCAATATGTTCTAAATAATGTTTCCAAATTTGTATCGAACACCTAACGCCGCGCTATACTATCACACACACTAGTACATGTCGCTGTATCCTTATATTGCAAACACGTATCGAGTTTTTTTCAAAAAATTTTGCTTCGCACATTTACAACTTAAACAGAAATTAAACTTGCCCCGGACGAGCTACATTCTGTTTATTTAATTTCTAAATATATTTTATAAAATAGTAATCACTGACACTTAATGCTTTATTCCAATTATTAATTATTTACAAGTTATGTGTTTTTAATATGTATAAGTGTTAATCTAAGAATTTCAAGATTTAGATATATATAGTCCACCATTTTAGTTATTTTTTTTTCCTTTCTTATTTTAATAACTTTCCGTAGGGTAAGTTATTGTAATCGTCCTAAAATCGAAACTGAAAGATTTTCCAATTCTTCGCGTTTTGAAGGTTTGTGTACATTTTAGCATACTCCAGAAAAAATGGATGTGTGTATGTGTATGTATGGATACAATTTTTCGTCCACCTTTTCGGATGCACAGATTAACCGATTTGAATGGTTCAAAAAACATTCGATTCCTATTGATAGGAAGATGTGCTGATTAGTTTTGGCAAAGGCATGTCCAGCCGTTCCGGAGATAGGGAGCAAAGAGTGCAGAGAATAGAAATCGAGTTCTTGAGAGAACGGAGCATCCGATTTGAATGATCTAAAAAATATGCAATTTGTACTGACGGAGAGAAGTGGTGTTGTATATCTGTATGATGTATGTGATTTCTTCATATAGACGCAAGGAGTGTGTTGTTCGTCTTTGAAATTGAGAAACGACTTACATGGATTTTTTATAAGAGCGAGTGAGTACGCGCTCAGGCTTTTCTTAACATTTGACTGCGTTCTACGCATAAGAAAATTGAATAGCGTTTCTAACAGTGTTAATTAAAAATTAGTCCAACAACCGCACTATCCGAAAATTCAAAACAAAAAATTATTTTCACATTTTTATGCACTAACACATAATTATTTAACCATATTTGTTATTAATATAATCCACGCCGACGTGAATAGAATCGTTTTATTTGTTTGTAGATATCTTTTACAGTTGTGACAAAAAGTTTCTCTGAAAACAGAGGCAAAGTATATTTTCAATGATATGATGAGCTTGGGTGTTGAAAATTGCTATATCTATTTTTTTTCGAAAAAAGCTTTAAACTACCGAGCCAATTATGTATAGAAACGAGACGAAACCCTTTAACTTTGTCAATTTGCAATATAAATATCACTTATACTTAAAATAGTTTTGATTTAGTTTTATATCAAGAGGTCAAAGATGTCAATTTTGTCAATTAAATGTAATTATAAGAGGATATTATATTAATTTAGGAGAGTGAGTTTTTTAAGGGGAGTAATAGTTTTAGTTGATACTACGATACATTATATCAAGAATTAATCTCTTATGAAGATTTTATTATAATTATTATTTTTATATCTATTTTATTACAATTTTATTATGTTTGGTTGATGAAGTTCATCTTATCTTAAATAATTTATATTCATCATACTCATCCTTATTTATTTTATTATAAATACTTAATTATTTTACTGAAAGTAACTTTTTTTATCAACCGATGTTTTTGATATTTTGCTTGGGCGTGCAAAAATGGTGTAATTGAAATATGTTACATAGTTTTTTTTTAAATCCTAATCTAATATAAAAATAGTGAATACTTGGAACTAACTTAAAATAAATCTTTAGTTTATGCCCACCAGGAATCATGAATAGTTTCATGACAGTTTGGTAAGTTCTTCTTGCTAAGTAGCTAGCAACAAATTATCATGCAAACAATTATTTAATGTTTATATTTGATGTTATAATCATTTTATTGTACTTCAAATAAGCAACAATTTAATTATTGAGATATGTAATGTTCTTGATTGATTTTTTTATTATGAAACTAATTAATACTAAAGTATAATAATTGAATGAAAAGGCCAATTAATTCTATGAATCAGCAAAACATTGTTTGTTTATTTGTTTCTATCATTACAAACAGAACATTGTATAGAATTAAATTTTCGGGTTGCTAGCTTTACAACTTAAGAACTATTTGCTGCAACATTGTCTATTTTAAATAAATGTATTTTAGTTGTTCAGTGGTCAGAAACCGTGCATCATTTTTGTATGTCTAGGGTATTTTTTATCACTTCGCCTTTGTTTTTTATTTATATTATTTTTCTCACACAAAAATTTATGATTCACGTTATATTAAAAATTATGAATTTTGTCATGATAAAAATTTGAAATATGTTTAAATGATGAAAAGCCGAACTATATATGCTGGAAGAAGACTTATTAACTTCCCGAAGGAGAAGTTTATGTCTTCATCAAAAAATCCGATTCGCTAATTTTTTGTTTTCTCGACGTTTCAAACCATTCTGAATCGAATGAGACCAAATTTGGAAAAAGTATGTGTGTGTGTGCGCGTGTGTGTGAACAGATTTTTTGCCGTAAATCAACGTTTTCTCAAAAACGGCTGGACCGATTTCAAAAATTTAAAAGCCATTCGATGAATCGCGACAAGGAATAGCGTTTATCAATTTTGCGCGACGATCAACCAAGCCGTTTCTTTATAAATAGCAGAAAATTGTACAGATTTTTGTCCACGTTTTAGTTCGCAGTTCTAACTCGATTTTGAAAATTCAAAAACCGTTCGAAAGATATTGGTTGGGAATCGTGCTGATGAGTTTTTGATAGAGATTGGCCGGGCCGTTTTCTTGTAATAAAATGTTAAAAAAAAATTCGACTATTATTATTATTTTTTTTTTGACGGTAGATACCACAGTCTTCTAGATCATACTAAAATATTACGGCCCTACGACAACTCGTTTAGCTTTAAAAATTCGTCAAAGTTTGCAAAAATTAGTATCGTTTTTTTGGCATTTGTCAAAATTAGACCTTTCATCGACGTTTGCTTAAAAACGCCTGAACCGATCTCAGTAATTTAAAAACCATTTGATGTGTCTCAATGAGGACTATCGCTTGTCAGTTTTGTGCGACGATCGGCCGAGCCGTTTCTTTGTAATTTGGAAAAAAGTGTGAAACTTTCCGTCCACATTTAAGCTCATACTACCGAATCGATTTTAAAAAATCAAAAACTGATCGAAAGATATTAGTTGGGAATGAAACTGTTTAGTTTTAGGTGAAAATATACCGAGCCGTTTTCTTGTAATTAACTGTAGAAAAAAAAATTTATGGAACTTTTTTGGCGATATATATCATGGTCTTATAGAACTTACTGAAATATTACGACCTGACGACAAGTCGTTTAATTTGAAAAATTCATCAAAGTTTGAAAAAATGAGTAGTTTTTTTTAACGTTTGTTAAAATTAAAATTAGTCGATTTACTTGGTATAACGATAGAGTACTTGGTCTCAATGCACATATTAAAGCATCAAAGTCCTACGGAAACTGGTTCAATTATAAAAATTTGCTTTTAGAGAATACTCCGAATACGTTAATATTCGTTCGTTTTCAATTATGTGTAATAAATCCACTCGGAATACTTTTAATTACTCATAAATTAATTTATATTTTATTGATTAAGTCGATTATTTACACATATCGGGAAGATCTTGTAACTTGCCTTAAGGCAAAATACCGATACCAACTAGTTACATATTAGACATACGATATAGATATAGCCGCGTAAAAGATTTTTTAGTCTTGTATAAAAAGTATTTTCATTAATTTAGGCACAACTTTGTTTTTATTAAATATTATTTATTTATCAGTGTAATTATTGTCTATTCATTCAATTTTTACTAGGAATCCTTTAGCTCAAATGGAAGAAGAAAAATTAGAACATGATAACAAGATGAAGAAAATGGAAACTGAAATGGAACAGGTAATATTTTTAAAAAATATACGTATTTTTTGCATTAGGTATTATTAAAGAGACTAACCCATTAAAATTGAATTCATAATTTTGAGAGCTTCTAAAAATTATACTTATCTTGCTTGCTTAATATCAATAGATTACATAAAATACAAACAGTTGAAGTACTTAACACGTTGCCGCAAATGACGGCTATAGCTGTCCGATCTTTAGCGATATGTAGGCAAACAACGGCCTAATAATTAATAATTAATAATTTGATAATAGTTAATAATTTTCACTTCCAAACATACAACTTACACTGGATTTCATCTGGCAATCATAAACAATTCAAAAAAAGTTTGTTTCTAAGCACGATCGTCAATTTAAAAGTGTGCGTCACGTAAGGGGTTACTATTAATCTGATATTTATGGACCATACAGCAAACCTTCTATATTTAAATGTTGTTCCTCATTTATTTTCTCTGGATGATTTTATATCATAGAGCGCTTTTTGCCGCACCTGTCGAAGGCCACTTGGCGTGCTTAACGAGTTTGGCATCGGCTTCAAGACAGAAATTATATGATTGAGCTCCAATATCAATCTCCAAAACTTTCATAAATTGTAAAGTACTGCTCAGACCAAAGCATTTTTTAAGCTTGAAGAGTTTTTTTCCATAAAATTTACAGTGGCGTTCTGTTCAAGAAGGTTGAAACAATAGTTATGTTTTTTTTTAATTGTCGTTACCTACTAATTTCTATTACAGTTAGGTCATAGATAAACAAGTATAAAGTGTTAAGTTGTATAATACTGATAATGACATAATAGATAAACAAGTATAAAGTGTTGAGTTGTACAATACTGATAATGAATTAGGTAATAGAGTTGTATAATACTGATAAAGACAAAATATTATATATATTTAAATGACTAGGTATTTGAAATGAAAGTGCGTGAAAAGCGGCAAAAGCTTAGAGATTCCGAATTAGAATTGACTAAGAGGCATGAAACCACTAAGAAGGCCTTAGAACAGCAAGCCCGCGACTTGGATGATAGGCGCAAAGCATTTGAGCAAGAAAAACATCAATGGGAACAACAAAACGGTGTCTCACTTGATGAACTTAGAAGAAGGTCATTGGAAGCTAATAGCAAAGAGTGAGTAATATACAAAAATATCAAATAAATAATCCTATAACCATTTAATGGGTGAAAAATAATTACTAACGGGTTTAGTCTTTTCATTGAAAGTTTCTTTTCTAATATTGATATCAAAAGGATAGTTCGTGATGGTTGGTTGTGAATGGGATTGTATAATCATGATTTGAATTTGGATCGCATGTTATGGATTCTTTTACATAGATATGAAAGCTTTGCATGAAGAGCATGGTTCTAAACCGATTGGATGTATAATTGATTAATTAATGGAACAAAAAATGAGCATTCATAAAATCATAGACTTCGCACACGCACATGCACACTATTAGTTTTATTGAATTGCCTGCAATATTTAAAATTACATAGATGAATTTTAAGAATGCTAAATAGTAAAATGCACATCTATAACTTAGGATCAATATTTTATAGAGTAATACAAGCCATATTATCCTAATTTTAAAGCCAATTTATCTTATATTGCTTTAAACTTCAAGTACATAGATTTTCAAGATTGGTTCAAAGGAAATATTAAATGAAAGAAATAAAAATTACATTTCATAACTAAACATATTTTTCAAATATTTTTTGCTCATTTTTCCTTAGAAGTTAATTTGGTATATAATTGTGTAATTGAACAATATTTCAACGAGTTCGAAGTATTTTTAATATTATTAGGTAATAATACATAATTATGAAAAACTTACATATCATAGGAGCATTCTTGAGTGAAATTTTCAAAATTCATTCATTTCCAATGCATTTAAACACATATATGATCAGTTAAACAATAATTACACAGCTTTGTAAAGATTATTAATGAGATGTTGGTAACAAAATCTAGTAGCAACTTTCTAAATAATATTTTCTAAAATAATATTTTAAATGAAAAGATTTAATTTTTGCATAAATAATAAATATTTTTATTGTGTCTATTTTAGAAATCAGTTGGTATATTTCAAATATGTTATTTAATAATATATAGCTGACAAATGTTTTTTTTTCTTATTTTTTTGACTGTAAATATTAAAAAAAATCAGTTGAAAAAGAGTAAAAAAGTTATATTTGGGACATTTTATCACTTACATTTAATTTTTTTTTTCAATTAAATTATTTGAATTTCAATCTCGTAACTTCAGAAATTATAAAATAATGGTATATAATTAATTTATTATGCAGGAAAAGTATCATTAAAATAAAAAGTAGGCTGCTAGTGATAAATGTTACCAACTTTCATTCGTATATAAAATAATGGTACGAGATTGTTAGCGTGTGTGGTATGGCTTATTCTCTGGCAGGACGATGTCAGTGACGTCCAGAGGCTCTGAAGGTTCTGAGGGACGCCCAAAGAGAGGATTCAGCTCTCTATTGCGTAGACATACAAGCTTCACAGCCCATGATCGTCATCCTACTATGAGCTTGGCTCCGACTGAGCGGGAGTAAAATCTATGTTCGACTATAATCTACATGCACAACCACTCCTTTTTGACAGCTTAATACCATAATCTTCATTTTGCATTAACTGCTTTCTTTATCTTTTTTATTTACCTCAATCACATTTTTTTGTAGCAATAATTCTTGTTTATTAATCCTTTAGTATTAATCTGTAGATGTTCTGACACTCTGTTTTATATTCTATCTTTTTTACCTTTTAAATATTTTTTATTTATTCATTTTACATAAGTTGTGTACCTCATTTATCAATAAAGATTATTACATTTATACAGCTGTTGTATTAGTTTATTTTAAAAAGACTTGACGCTCGATATGTACATGTTTTCCATCAATCAATTCTTTTCATAATTTTAAGAAATAAAAATGGTTTCCTGTTGCATGTATATGTAAATATATATATATATATATATATATATATATATATATGTTTCTTTTCCGAATAATAAATGCAATAAATAAAAAACAATTTGTTTTTTGTAGATGATTAATTACGACTTTTCGGAATTAGATACGTTCCATCATCAGGTTTCTTCTGTCAAAAACATATTTATATAGTCTAACTCTATTTAAGACGAAGAATACAGAATATTAAGTAAAAAAAAATTTAATATAAAGGAATGGATTATGTACCAGGTAAAAGTAAAGAAACTTATATAAAAATAAAAATGAAAAATAAAATAAAAAAAATTATAGAAAATAAAAAATAAAATTGAGTAGCAAAAATTATTTATCTGCAATATTGATTTATATATCCATATCACTAATTTTTTGTTTAAAACACTTGGAAATTTTTTTTGAGAGTATTCGAAAAATTTGACTTCATACGACTAAGTTACTGTCTGTAATTCACTTCTGTTACACAGATGTGTCTAAGGTCGAATATTGTTTTATAATTCTTGCATTGGCAATTTACGAAAAAACGGGATATATTTTTTAGTTTAAAGAAATATAAATAATTTGTTGCTTTAGACAAAACGGAGAATTATTTTTATGTATATGATCTGATCTTTTATTAACACAAGCTAAAGTTACCAACAAATAAATATTTTTATTGCGCTGTAAAAATGAATGGATAACCGACTTTCATAACAAATATTATTAACAAACAGTTTTTACACAATACCTCCAACATATATAAAATTGCGCGACAAATATCGTACTTTCAAAATTCAATAATTAAATTAGAAATAAAAAATTATTTTATTGGCATCAAAAACAAAAAAACATAGATCGATCAGATAATAAATACGCTTAAACAAACAATAGATGAAAATATTTTTAAGCAATTTTTAGAATTCGAATAATATCAAATACGAAAAACATTTCCGCATGATTAAAAATAAACAAATTCAGAAACTAAAAAATCTTCTACAAAAGAGAGATAACAATTATCCTTTTCACGTTTTAAGTTTTCTATAGACAAATGGCTAGTAAATAAAACTAATATTGACATTTCGGAAAATATCCAATACATCTTAGCTCTTGGCCCAAAATTTAGTTACTCACCTAGAAAATACAAAACTAATTAGTAACAAAAACTCTTTTAGAAAATCAATATCCCCTCAACCTCATCAACTCCATTACCAATAAAAGACTTGCCTATCATAAATCTAATAATTATCAGTCTATCACTAAGTTTTCTAATGACAACAATATCAAACCCATTTTCACAGTATGCCCTACATTGAAGCTTTTTTGATCATTTTGTCAAATTACTCAAAAAAGAAAATATTTTCACTTCAGGAACATCTTTATGTTTCTTTAAAGAAATGTTTTCAAAAATTAAGTTCACCACGCCTCCCAAATTTAACACTAACTTAGTTTATTCTATCATTTGCAAAATATGTGATAAACAATACATTGGCCAAACATCACAATGCATCCATAAGAGAATAAGACAACATCAATGATGTGTTATTCACCATAAAAATTGAAGTTTCCAAAGCACCCTAGTCCAATATTCCGTTGAAAATTCTCATTCCTTTGTTTTTGAACCCAATATTTTATATAGAGAAAATTGCACTTTTAAAATACTTTTTAAAAGACAGAAGATAGTTCAATCTTCTTGAATTCGGCAAGTTGTGTTGATAAAAGATCAGATCATAATATTGTTCATGACTCGTATTTAAATTTTTTAAATCTAATCAAAAAAGATTAATTAACTTCCCGAAGGAGAAGTTTATGTTTTCATCAAAAAATCGGATTCGCTAATTTTATGTTTTCTCGACGTTTCAAGCCGTTCTGAATCGAATGGGACCAAATTTGGAAAAAGTATGTGTGTGTGTGTGTGTGTGTGTGTGTATGTGAACAGATTTTTTGCCGTAAATCGATGATTTCAAAAATTTAAAAGCCATTCGATGTATTTCGACGAGGACTATCGTTTGTCAGTTTTGTGGAACGATCGGCCGAGACGTTTCTTTATAAATAGCAGAAAAGTGAAAAAATTTTCGTGCACGTTTTAGCCCGCAATTCTGAATTATTATGAAAATTCAAAAACCATTCGAAAGGTATTTATTGGGAATCGTACTGATTAGTTTTTGGTAAAGATCGGACGGGCCGTTTTCTTGTAATAAAGTGTTAAACAATTTTTTTTCTACGATTTTTATTATTATTTTTTTGACGGTAGATACTATAGTCTTCTAGATCATACTAAAATATTACGGCCCTACGACAATTAGTTTAACTTTGAAAATTCGTCAAAGTTTTCAAAAATTGGTATCGTTTTTTTGGCATTTGTCAAAATTAGACCTTTCATCGACGTTTTCTCAAAAACGCCTGAACCGATTTCAGAAATTTAAAAGCCATTTGATGTATTTAGATGAGGACTATCGTTTGTCAGTTTTGTGCGACGATCTGCCAAGCCGTTTCTGTGTAATTTGAAAAAAAGTGTTAAACTTTTCGTCCACATTTAAGCTCATCCTACCGAACCGATTTAAAAAAAACAAAAACTGTTCGAAAGATATTAGTTGGGAATGATACTGATTAGTTTTAGGTGAAAATCTACCGAGCCGTTTTCTTGTAATTAACTGTTGAAAAAAAGTGTTAAACTTTTCGTCCACATTTAAGCTCATCCTACCGAACCGATTTTAAAAAATCAAAAACTGTTCGAAAGATATTAGTTGGGAATGGTACTGATTAATTTTAGGTGAAAATCTACCGAGCCGTTTTCTTGTAATTAACTGTTGAAAAAAAAAAAATTAAGCCGATTTTCATGGAACTTTTTTGGCGATATACATCATGGTCTTATAGAACTTACTGTAATATTACGGCCTTACGACAAGTAGTTTAATTTTAAAAATTCGTCAAACTTTGCTAAAATTATTATCGTTTTTTTAAAAGTAGGATTGATGAAGTATATTATTTACACATTTTTTTTGATTGAGTCGATTATTTACACATATCGAGAAGTTCATGTAACTTGTCTCAAGGCTAAAACCAAACCAACTAGTTTTAGAATGATTTTATGTGTATATATACATGTATATGTAGTGTATGTGTGTGCATGAGTATGTGTGTGCATGAGTATGTGTGTGCATGAGTATGTGTGTGCATGAGTATGTGTGTGCATGAGTATGTATATATGAGTATATACATGTATATATGAGTATATACATGTATATATATATATATATATATATAAATTAACAAAGTCTAATAATCGGGCATAACATCAATAAAAATCATGAATTTCTTTCAAAAATTTATTTTAAATCCATACGTTTCGGCTATAATCCTAGCCTTCATTCAGTGGAGACTAAAAATAAAATTAAAAACTAAAACAATTGAATTGGAGTGAAAACAAAAAATAAAATAGTAATTAGTACTTACAATTAGTAGATCTTAGTGTTAAATTGGAAAATTTTAATAATCCATGGTATTAGGATATGGTAATGCACTACACTATGTATTATAAACATTAACTTGAAATTACACAATATTTTCACAAAATACTGATTTGAAAAAATCACAAATGGATAGTGTGTTATTCGTAGACTGGTTGAAGATGTAATGGAGAAAGACATTTTTTAAAAAATATTTTTACCAAGATTCTAACATGTGTGGAACGAATTGCGAATCCTTTGCTCGAACGCTTTTATTGTTTTGTAAGAAATTTGGAAATGTTATCTAAATAGAAGAGATTTGTCTCTTTCAAGTTAATGTTTATAATACATAGTGTAGTGCATTACCATATCCTAATACCATGGATTATTAAAATTTTCCAATTTAACACTAAGATCTACTAATTGTAAGTACTAATTACTATTTTATTTTTTCTTTTCACTCCAATTCAATTGTTTTAGTTTTTAATTTTATTTTTAGTCTCCACTGAATGAAGGCTAGGATTATAGCCGAAACGTATGGATTTAAAATAAATTTTTGAAAGAAATTCATGTTTTTTATTGATGTTATGCCCGATTATTAGACTTTGTTAATACATATGTCAACATCAAATTCAGAATCATACAAAATATATATATATATATACACTAGGGCCTTGCTTTAGGGCCTAGATACGTTCCGCGAGATTTGGCCGTAAAGCGAAAAGCCGTATAATGAATCAATTATTCTAATACGTATTCATACAAATTCAATGGGATCGGTTCCAAATTTAATAAATATATAATATGGTTTATCATTCAAAATGCATTTTATTTTTTTATTTTGTTTAAATTATAAACATATTTATTTAACAAGAACATAAATTTTACATAAAATAAAAAACTTCAAAAACATTACTTAATTTTCAAATAAAAATGAAACAACTAAAACCTACAGATCACTGTCACTATCATTTTGCGCTGGTGGTTTGAAAAATTTGTCTAAAGTTGTTTGTCTTGCCTTCTTGTCTATTTCTTCCTTTAGCGATTTATTTCCTTGTTCAAAATATGAAAAAGCGCTCGACATGATTTTTGATGTTAGCTGTTTGGATACAACAGGTTCTGTATCTTCATCAATTGCCGGCTCTGCTTGCAACTGAATGTGTTCCTCATATGAAAGGGGTTCCCTATCAGCTGCAAGTAGATTCAGCACATCAGATTCGTTTAAATCTTCAAAACCGAGATTGCGCAATAAATCGATATAGAGAAAAATAGCCGTTATAGCAAAACATTTTAGGCCGTATATCGAAAACATACCTTAATTAAAGAGGGCCGTTATTG